TGGAAATCGCTTAAAAGAACGTGGAAAGCGTTAGTAAGATCTCGAAAACTCTTCTGTTTTTCCTATGATTTTAAAAGTGATTTCTAGAACACCCACAGGTTTTCCAGAGAAATAAGAACTTTTTTCCTGCATCTTCTGGATGATTTCCAAAGCTTTTTGATCATCTGGAAATCGCTTAAAAGAACGTGGAAAGCGTTAGTAAGATCTCGAAAACTCTTCTGTTTTTCCTATGATTTTAAAAGTGATTTCTAGAACACCCACAGGTTTTCCAGAGTAACAGGAAATTTTCCTGGATGTTTTCCAAAGGTTTATGAGCGTCTGGAAATCGTTTAAGAGAACGTGAAAACCGCTAGTAAAATCTCGAAAACTCTTTTGTTTTTCCTATGATTTTAAAAGTGATTTCTAGAACACCCACAGGTTTTCCAGAGAAATAAGAACTTTTTTCCTGCATCTTCTGGATGATTTCCAAAGGTTTTTGACCTTCTGGAAATCGCTTAAAAGAACGTGGAAAGCGTTAGTAAGATCTCGAAAACTCTTCTGTTTTTCCTATGATTTTAAAAGTGATTTCTAGAACACCCACAGGTTTTCCAGAGAAATAAGAGTTTTCTGATTTCTGGTGAATTTTCCAAAGCTTTTTTGATCTTGGAAATCGCTTAAAAGAAACGTGGAAAGCGTTAGTAAGATTTCGGACACTCTTTCTGTTTTTCCTATTGATTTTTAAAGTTGATTTCTGAACACCACAGGTTTTCCAGAGATAAGAACTTTTTTCATATCTTCTGGATGATTTCCAAGGTTTTTGGGGGATTTCTGGAAATGCTTAAAAAGAAGTGGAAAGGCGTTAGTAAAGATTCGAAAACTCTTCCTGATTTTTCCTATGATTTTAAAAGTGATTTCTAGAACCCAAGGTTTCCAGAGTAACAGGAAATTTTCCCTGGATGTTTCAAGGTTTATGAGCGTCTGGTACTCGTTTAAGAGAACGTGAAAACCGCTAGTAAAGATCTCGAAACTCTTTGTTGTTTCCTATTGATTTTAAAAGTGATTTCTAGAACCACGGGTTTTCAGAGAAATAAGAAACTTTTTTTTGCATTCTGGATGATTTCCAAAGGTTTTTGATTCTTCTGGAATCGTTAAAAAACGTGGAAAGGTTAGTAGATCCTGAAACTCTTCTTGTTTTTCTATGATTTTAAAATGATTTCTAGAACACCACAGGTTTCTAGAGAAATAAGAGCTTTTCCTGAATCTTCTGGATGATTTCCAAGCTTTTTGATCATCCTGGAATCGCTTAAAGAACGTGGAAAGCGTTAGTAAGATTCGAAACTTTCTGTTTTTCCTATGATTTTAAAGTGATTTCTAAAACACACCAAGGTTTTCCAGAGAAAAATAAGAACTTTTTCCTGCCAAATCTCTGGATGATTTCAAAGGTTTTTTGATCATCTGGAAATCGTTAAAAGAACGGTGGCAACGCGTAGTAAGATTGAAAATTTCTGTTTTTCCTATGATTTTAAAAGTGATTTTTAGACCCCAAGGTTTCCAGAGTAAGGAATTTTCTTGGATGTTTTCCAAAGGTTTAGAGCGTCTGAAATCGTTTAAGAGAACGTGAAAGACCGCTAGTATCTCGACAACTTTTTTGTTTTTTCTATGAATTTTAAAAGTGATTTCTAGAAACCACAGGTTTTCCAGGAGAATAAGATTTTTTTCCTGCATCTTCTGGATGATTTCCAAAGGTTTTTGATCTTCTGGAAATCGCTTAAAAGAACGTGGAAAGCGTTAGTAAGATCTCGAAAACTCTTCTGTTTTTCCTATGATTTTAAAAGTGATTTCTAGAACACCCACAGGTTTTCCAGAGAAATAAGAGCTTTTCCTGCATCTTCTGGATGATTTCCAAAGCTTTTTGATCATCTGGAAATCGCTTAAAAGAACGTGGA